CACCCCAATCAATCCTGAACTCTGTAAGAAAAGAAATGCAGAAGGCTCAGTGAGGCGCCCTCTCTGCGAGAGAAAGGGAGGGAAGAAGGGCTGGGCGTCAGGCTGCAGCTTGTGCCCCGCCCTCAGCTGGCCTGGAGCTGGCCCTGTCCCCTCACACATTTAACACGCCCTACCCCAGGCTGAGAGAGCCGGGTTTGCCTGTCTGGGGAGAGGCAGGGAGCCAGGTGCCATGTGTAAGGTGCTGCATCGCTTGTGCCTGGAGCCCCGCACTGCAAGTTGGGGGCCTGCTTCTCCCCTGGCACCACCCCTGCTTGGCGCCCTTGCTCCAGCCCTTTGCACTCTGGGCCAAGTCTTTCTATCTGCAAAGAGGGCGGTTGGGACCAGCCCCAAGCGTCAGGACTCAGAATGACTCCTGACTTGAGGTTCCCCTATGGGTACAGGTGTTTGCCACAATTTGCAAGTGATACACCAGATGCAAGGTGGAGGGGGGTAGAGTGGGGCAGAGAGGGAGGGAGGAGGGAGAGAGAGAGCAATGATGATGATGATGATGGTACAATAACCAGCCCTCGTAATTACTGCGCATGAATTATCTGTTAGGCACTGGGCTCACATTTTGTACACTATCTCATTCAGCCTCACGCCAACCCACCGGCAGGGACCATCTACAAAGAAGAGGAGACAGCCTCAGAGAGATCTAGTAACGCTCCCAGGGCTCCACAGTTAAGTGGGACTGGAACCCAAGTTCAGCCGGGCTCTGAACCCACAGTCTTGGCCACGCAATGTCCCGCCTCCCCCGCAGATGAGGAGCTGTCCTTGTGCCCGTGCCTCTGGCCTGGGGCAGAGCCAGCCACAGCCCAACTGCCCCTCGGGCCGATGGCAGGGCCGGGTTCTCCCAGAGAGAAGGGGCAGGAGGGGAGCTGCCTGTCCCCCCGTTCAAATCCGAGGTGAAGCCCTCCTGCTCGGCACCAAAAATAGTTTTTAAAACGAGTTTTTGGATGTCAGGTGGTATTTATGCAACCCAGATCCTCAAGGGAGTATAAGTAAAAGCAAAGCCCCTCCTTCATTCCCCATCGACACGTGAAGGAGAAATGTTGAGGGAGAAAATCTAGAGGAATCCTGCACCCACTCCTGCCATAAGGAGGATTGGATTGTGGGGGAGGGTGCGGATTGCTTCAACGACCAGGTTTGGGTAAACGGAGGCAGACCTGGATTTACTCCCGTTGCATCACTGCATTGCTTGCAGGTGGATCTGTCATTGAGGCTGCAGTTTGTAACCTGACAGGGCTGTGGTCCATCCGGGGCTCAGGCCCCGCTTAGAGTCCACTCCTGGGGTCTCACGAGGCTTCCTGGCCGCTGGAATTGCTCCAGGGCTCTCTGGAAGCTTCTGGTTCTGAGGGCGACTCCCTCACCTTCCCAGCCTTCCGAATCCCACCTGGCTGTTCCAGCGCTGCCTCTCTGATCCGTGCAAGTGTGGAGCATAAAACCCCTGAGGGCCTCAGAACCCCTCCCCTTCCCGTGCAAAGGCAGACGCAGAGGAATCCACTCTCTGCAGAGTGGACGAGACACCGAGGTCAGGTCTCTCTTTCTGGTTGAACAGTCTCATGCCCAGGGCAAATCATCCAGCCCCCTCTCCAGACACCCCTTCTCCTCCTCCTTCCCCAAGGGACACCAGGGCATCCCTGGCCCTGGTCTCAGTTGAGGAGGGGCTGCCTCTCAGGAAGGCCCATGCTGTGTCGCCCCCGGCCCTGAGATCTGAGCAGAGTTCATCACTGCCCCGGGAAACTCCCCAAGGCTGGACTCTGTTGTCCTTCTGCTTTTGGGCTTGACCTTGAGGCTGGGAAAGCCCCAGCCCTGACCTTGAGCCCTTGGAGGACCTAGCTTATTGTGGTGGCCACACACTCCTCACCTAATGGTGTGGCTTGGGCGACAGGACCTGGGCCAGTCCCAGGGGCCCAGGAGAGTCTGCCAGGTTCTAGCCACAGCTCCTCTCCTTTTCTTTCTTTTCTTCTTCTCTCCTCTCCTCTCCTCTCCTCTCCTCTCCTCTCCTCTCCTCTCCTCTCCTCTCCTCTCCTCTCCCCTCCCCTCCTCTCCCCTTCCCTTCCTTCCTTCCTTTGTATTTTTTTTTTTTTTGGCTTAAAACAACACAAATTTTTCTCTTACAACTCCGTAGGTCAGAACTCTGACCCAGGTCTCAACAGACAAAATCAAGGTGTTGACAAGATTCTGTTCCTTTCTGGAGGCTCCCAGGGAGAGCCATTTCCTTGCCTCTCCCAGCTTCTAGAGGCTCCCTGCATTCCTTGGTTGGCAGCCCCTTCCATCTTCAAAGCCCGCCGTGGCCGGTGGGTGGAGGCCTTCTCGCATCACATGGCTCTGACTCTGCTTCCGTGGTCACATTTCTGTCCCTGACTCCTAGCCACACCTCTTAGCACTGGGAAATCACACTGGCCTTCCCGGAGGAGCCCCGTGGGGAGCGGAGCCACCTGGGCGTCCACCCCTGCTGGCCACGGCGACTCCCTTCTGCATGTTTCGCAGAGAACAGTTGTGTTCTTAGAAAGGTTCCCCTGCTTCAAACAACCACAAGCCAAACAAAACCACAGTGCCTCCGAGTCAGGGCTGACTCATGGATCTGTGAGCTGGTCAGAACGCCGGCCCGGGGGTCAGAGGCCGCAGCTCAGATCTGGCCCTGCTGTGACCAGCACGGTTTTGGACAAGCTGCCTCCCCTCCCGCCGCCGCCCAGCGCTGCTCCTCCGCCAGAGCAGAGCCTTCCTTACCCCGAAAGCGCCCCTGCCCTTCACACCCATCCTCCCGCCTGAGTCCTGTGAACGGTGGGGTGATAAGTCCTCCTTTGGGGAGGTAAGGTGTATGGTGGCTTAGAGGTCAGGCCCTTCCGGGAGACCCTGGCTGCAACACTTACTGAGAGGCTCTGGGCAAGTTATTTGACCTTCTCGTGGCTCAGTTTCCTCATCTGTCAAACCGGGTTAATGAGCATACCAATTTGCATGGGGCTGTTTAGAGAACCGAATGAGTTAATGACGTGTACGATGCTTAGAACAGTGCCATTAAAAGTGCTCAGTAAGTTTTACCTCTTATTGTTATTACCCTGACAGTAATCACCCTTGCCAGGTCACCCGGCTGTCACACTTCTAAAGCTCCTAGGCATACAATCACAGTGGCCACTAATACGACCGCAGCTCAACTGCGGAAAGGCGGTTCTCTAAATCCCAGCACTGGTGCAGAGATTAAATAAAATAATTAGAGCGTCTGCCTAGGAGCAAATGGCTCTCGCCCTGTGTAGTCCCCGCCCCACCCCCAGTCCCATTAAGGGCCCAGGTAGCCAGATCACGCCAGATCTGGGGCCTTGGCATCCGCACAGGGCTGTCTGGAGAACGTCCCAGGAGACCCTGCCGGCGACAGGCAGACTCTTGGAAGTAAGGGCATCGGAGGGCTTCGGTGGTGGCTGCTGGGCGTTTGCTACTTCTGTTGTTTCTGCTCGGGCCAAATCTGGACCCTTACAGCTCCCCTCCCTCGTGCCCCTGTCCAGTCGGTGCCCTGCAGCCCCAGGCATGGAGCTGGCACCCGGGACTGGGCAGTCATGTTTGTCCAGAGCTCACGGGGCAGGGCACGGCTAGGAACTGGAGTTCCTGGGGACACGTGGAGCACGCAGAGAACCCGCCGCCGTTTGGGCCCCTTTCTGAGAGGTGGAAAATCTTGAATGTCCCAGCCAACTCCTGCCTTGGGAGAGAGCAGCACACAGAGGAAGACTCCGCCTGCAGTTCTGGGACACTCCCAGGGGCCTCCGTGTCACAGCCAAAGCCTAGATCCCCACCTGGAGGGCTGTGGCCATAGGTGTAGGGATTTGGGACGGATCTGTTCTGATCCCAGGAACTTCCTGACAAGCCAGTCTCTTCTGAATAAATCATTCAGCTTTTTTGCAGTTTTTTCCTAAAGTCACTTGCTAGGGGAAAAGTAATCACGATTACTCAGTGTTCCAGTTAGTAGGATTCTGGCTAATTGGAATTTTGACTTTTCTTCTCTTTCCTCTCTGGCTACAGAGGAGGAGAAAGTCCCTCCTCCCCCTGTTAAGTGGAGGAAAGCCCTCCCTGCTTGTGACCCACACAGCAGGAGGCCCACAGAGATCCCTGCCAAGGGAATGTGAAATTCTTATCAATGTGTACCTGGCGGAGTTGAGAAAGGGCTCCTCACACCTCCCCCTACTGTAGAGCAGCCCAGAAACTGGAGAAGAGGAAGGTCGTCCTTCATATCATCTTCCTCCAGGGAAAGGTGCCGTGCTTGTTGAGCACTTACTATGTGCTGGCCACGCTTGCTCCTCACAACAGTCCTATAAGGCACTATCATCACTCCCATCATACAGATGGGAAAACTGAGGCCTGGAGAGATTCAGCTCTCAGTGGTAGAGCTGGGATTTTTACTAGGTCACACTGTCCCTGCTGCCCCACTCTTTCTGCTCTGCCCTCAAGGGTGCACCAAACGAAGCCATGCACACAACCATGGTGGCTTGGTGGCCAGGGAAGTCTTGAGTTGAGGAGTTCGGAAGATTGGCGTATGAACCACTGGGGGCACTCTGCTTGTTTCAGATTGGCAATTCAAACACTTGAGAGAAGAGCTGCTTTGTTTTCCTCCCTCTCTCAGAGATAAGCTTTGGCTGGGGCCTTGTCCAGGCTCCCAGGGCCCCAACAGGAGGGACAACTTTCTGTGGGACAGAAGGCTCTGGACTTGGAGGGGGGCAGGGGAGGGGGAGAGAAATGGCTGCTGGGATCTGAAAGCCCCAGAAACACCGACTCCCTCCCACGACGCCATCGCAGTGGGTCTGTTAGCACACACCCCGTCCATTCGTAGGGTCTGATTACATGAGAGGTGCTTAGCTCGTCAAACGGGACAACCCTGGCTTTCCTCCTTGGGAGGCAAAGGGCAGACTAGGCTCAGCTGGCCAGGCGCCCTCGATCTCCAGCTCACCACCTCCCTCCCTTGTGTCCTCTAGATGGGATCTATTACGGCGAGAATCGCTTTAACACGGTGAGCGAGTCAGGAACAGCCACGCTGAAAGCTCGGCCCAGAGTCCGGCCCCTGCTGACCTTCCTTCCACTGGTGAGTACGGTTCCGCTCCGGGCTCTGAGGGTCTTCTCTGGGTGGGGACACCTCGCCTGCCACAGAGGAAGCAGCCCCACCTGCCCTGGCCTGAGTGGACGTCACCCTCTGTCCATTCCCTCCCTTCCTGATGCCAGCCCAGGGTGGCTACAGGAAGGAGGCATGGCCAAGGCTCATGGCAGGAAGTCTGAGATTGGGGCTGGCAGCTCCTTTGTGGCTGAAACCCTAGGAGAGGGTATGGACAAGTTGTGTGCAGAGGTGACACGGCGGTGGGTACGTCCAGCTAAACAAGTTCATTTTCCACGATCGCTGGTGGCTGCCTGCTTCCTGCCAAGGCCTGCCTTAGGTGCTGGGACGCAGAGATGGCTGAGCCAGTGTTGCAGCTCCCAAGGAGCCCCCTGCCCGCTGCAGGAGACGAATGAGTAACTGGATTGTTCGAACACAGGCCAGAGCAGGGACAGCCAATCCAGCCTTAATGGGTGATCAAGGAGGGCTTCCTGGAAGAGGGGACACCTGAGCTGCCTCGTAGGACAAATAGCAGTGACCCTTGGGAGAAGGGCATTTGGGACAGACCTCTTTATGGATCTGAAACTACAGGAAACCAAAACTCCCCCTGGAGCTCGGGGTTGGGCTTTAGTTTTTTGGACAAGGGAGAAAGACCAAAAGAACTGCTCTAAGACTGGTTCTACTTTCTGCAATGAGAATTCCTGGGTTTTCTGGAACATTCTAGATAAGTGCTGACCAATAGAGATATAATGTAAGCCTCATATGTAATTTAAAATTTTCTAGTAGCTACATTAAAAGTAAAAAGAAAAGGTAAAATAATTTTAATAATATATTTTACTTAACCCACTATAGTCAAAAGATTATCATTTCAACATTTAACATAAAAACAGCAATGAGTACTGTTTCTGGATACTCTCAAAAAAAAAGGAAAAAATTAAAAAAAAAAACAGCAATGAGAAAAAAATACTAATGAGATATTTACATTCTTTTTTTCATACTAAGTCTTCAAAATCTGGTGTACTACACACCTAGCACGTCCCACTTCTGACATTTTAAGCATCTGATAGCCACTTGTGGCCAGTGGCTTCTGTGGGGGACAGCCCCGGTCTAGACTCTAAACAGCCAGCTTCCTAGAGTGCAGGCTCACTCCTGGCTGTCAGACCTGGGTCCTGGGTACGACCCCAATACTGTCACTGGGGTCACAGCATCCTCAGACTTCATGAGGGTTTGTGCTGCGTAGACAGTCGTGCAAGGCTCCTAGTCCTGGTCTGAGCCCTCGGGGCCTGTTGGACCTCATGGCACCCCACACCTTGGTCCTGGGTACCCACACACCCTGCCCAGCACTGCCTGGCACAACCACCTCCCACTCTCCATCACCGAGGTTTTCTGATTTGTCCAACCCCACCGAGCAGACCCCAAGATTCTAGATGGGACGGGAAGTGTTTTACATTCTCCTATGGCATCCCCACCGCCTGCATGTGGCGGGCTGAGCGCACAGATCTCTAGGAATATAACTTTATTATTTTTATTTTATTTTTATTTTTTATTTTAGCATATTATGGGGGTACAGTCGTTAAGGTTACATATATTGCCCATAGGAATATAACTTTAAATAATTTGTTTTCTGCTTATGAAAGCAATCCATAGGCATTACCAATAAATATAGAAAGTAGAACACCACCAACAAAAAGGTATGAAGCAAATGAGTCAGCCCCTAACTTTGTTTCCAGAGACGTATATAACTGTGATGAGGTCACTGCACCCATAAATACAGATGAGATAATTTTGAGATACTCTATTTCCCCTCACCTACCCTCAAAACATACACTCAAAAATCACAGTGGGATGAGCCCAGAGTTGACACACCTGTACCTGTGCTAGTTGATAAAATGTTGAAATACAAAACCTTCAGAGTAGAAATGGCTGTTGCCTCTGAGTGGCTCCTGCCGTCCCGGCCCCTCCCCCAGACCGGGACCACCCCTAAAAGCAGCAACTAAAGGGTTAATGTGGGCACAGCTGAGTTTGTCTGGATTGGTGGGTATCCTGTATCTCCCCGCAGCCACCCACTGGGGCCCCTCAAAGACCAGGGCAAGTCCCAGCCTCTCTGCTCTCCTCCTGTCCCCTCGGGCTTGGATCTGGTCTTGGCAGAACGTGATCCGGAGCTGCACAGACCCTGGGCGGGCGGGCCTGGCCGAAGACTCAGGGGGCCATGCAGTGGGCTGGCTGGCTGCTCGGGCTGGAGTTCTGGGCCCTCCTGGGGAAATGCCTCCTGGGAGCAGTCCTTCTGGGCTGGCCGCAGAGCCAGTCCCAGGAGATGGGGGCCTTTCCCCAACAAGCTGTCGCCCCCTCACTGGTGATGGCTGGGGAGTGGACACACGGTGCCCCAGCAGCTGAGAGGGGCCTGGCCAGGTCCCCACCGGCCTCGGGTTAGAGAGACAGGAACCGGCTGACCGGGGAGAGGCAGGTGAGCCACTTGCCCGTCCCCTCCAGCGACACAGCCTGTGATCAGGGCCGGCAGGTGCTGAGCCCCCACTGTGCGCCAGGCGCCCTTGCAGGTGGGTCTCGTGTGTTAACAGAGCCGCCATCTGGGTGACGTCTGTCATCCAGCACCTTTCCACAAAGGGAGAAACTGAAGCACAGAGCGCAGGAGTAACTTGCTCAAGGCCACACAGCTTGTAAGTGGCAGAGCCAGGATTTGAACCCCCGCAGCCTGTCTCCAGGGTCCCAGTTCTATTCAGCCCATCCTACCGTCTCCACTACCCTGGACCAGCCAGCAGAATGACATCCGCCCCCCTCGTGTGCCTGTCTGAATCCCTGTCTGGCAGTAGGGCCCGCCAGGCAGCGGGTCTCTTGCCTCTTCTAGATCATAAACTCCTTTGAGACCACGATGAGGCCACGGCCACGTACACTAGATTTTGCACAGTTTCAGCAGAGGACTCTGGAGCCCCCAGGAGCCCATCCATGAAGTACCTTTAGATTAGGAACCCTTGGCCCGATGGTCCGTATCCCAGGGACAGCTCCACGCTGCTAACTCAGGTTACAAGACACAGAGTAGCCCCAGCGTCATTCGTCGCCAGCCCCTGGGTGGGCGGAATCGAGCCAGCAGCCTGATTCTCTCCTGCTGACCACCTGGCTCTCTCCCTTGGGCTCTAGAATCCTTCGCTTCCTTCCAGCAGGGGCCAGGGGCCGGTGAATGGGGACAAGCGGGAGAATAGAGCTCTGTGTGGATGTGGGTTCACACCCCGTCAGGTCTGGGCGGGTGCGGAGCTGGGCTGGTGCCTGAGCCCTGCCGGACACTACCCTAGCTGGCCAGGCCCTGTCCCTCCGTGTCCTCTCTTCCCAAATTCAGAGGGCACCTCCCAGGCCAGGCTGTCTGGGGACAGGGGAGGTGTGAGGTGGCAGTGCCCAAGAAGCCAGATGACAGCTCCCGCAAGGGCCTTTGAGCTCCATCTGGGCCTGGGCCATGTTCTGACGTACCCTCCCTGTCAGTGCCCTACATGAGCCTGGCATGGGACAGGGGTCGAGAGGAGGTGACAGGATGAGGTGGGGGAGGCCAGAGACAGGCGTTTCTGCCCCTTCGCTGGAGCACCCTCGCTCTGTTTGTGCTGAAGGTGCCGAGGATTAAGAAATGCTTCCTCAGGCGCCCGGCAGCCACAGGCCATCTGTGAAAAGGATTTCAGGATCCCTCAGTGGCCAGGACAGGACCTGGGATTGCTCCTTGAGTGCTGGCACCAGTCCCAGCTCTGCCACTGGGCTGTGGGGTAGGTGAGGGCCAAGCCCTTCCATCACTGGGGGTCACACTGGATGGTCACCAAGGGTCTCCCCAGCCGTGACTTTCTGTGTTAAAATGACTCCCTAATGGAAGGGTAGGAGGTGTGGTCACCTCCCTGGAGGGTCCCCAAAGAACCCCGGCCCCTGACCGCTCCTTGGGCTCTGCTTCTGCCTCTGCCGAGGGACATTCCAGCGCCCGGGCCGCCGCACCCTCCTACTGGGGGAGGCCTGAGGAGCTGGGTGAGAACCACCAAGTCAGAGCTGGGGAGGACCACAGCGGTCATCAAGATGAGGAAACTGAGGCCCAGGGAGAGGAGGGCCACACGGCTCAACAGAAGCAGAGACAGGAGCCAAGCCTATTCCCCGGGCCAGCCCTGTCCACACCACCAGAGGCCTGGGCTCAGTGAGCAACTATCCTTTTTCTACTTCCATGGGGAAACCGGGACTGAGCTCAAGCCAGAGCCTGTCCCTCTGCTGTGGGAACTGAGCTGACAGACGGTGGGTAGGAAGGTTGTGCTTCTGTCTGGGGCTGCCGCCTGCCCTCCCCAGTCGGAATCTAACCATCCCCAGGGTGATGCATTGAGGAATTAAAAATTAAATGCCAATGTGGCAAATATGGGAAAACTGGCTGGGCAGGTCCCCAGGGGTGCCCAGGGCGGTGAGAGCTCCCTGAGTCACCCCACCCTCTGAGTCAGACAGGCCTGGCCCTGCCAGAGGAGGTCCCCCTGGGCTGGGGCAGGAAGCCCTGCCTGTTCTGTACCCTCCCTCGAGAGGCCGCTGAAGTCAGCCTGCTCTCTCCCTTCCACCCCACCCCCTGCCGCAGGAGCTAAACTCAAGGCCCAGCCACCTCTCAGGGCTGGGAGTCGAGCCCCATAGGGTGAGCCAAGAAAGGCAGTCATTAATGGCTTTTGACTGATGCATGGGGGCGATGCTAGGTGGAAGGGCTGGCGGGCCAGGGTGCTCCCTAGTTTGGGGGTGGGGCGTCAGAGGCCTGCTGCTGCGAGTACAAGTGGCGCTCCCACCCCCACACACCCTACCCCTTCTCTACCTGCCATCTCCCCTCTCACAGCGTGAGCCTCCAAAGCTCCATCTGCACCCTCGTCCTTACCACCAGCAGCCGTCCCTTAGCCTCCCCCCGACTCATGCATGTGCACCCCCAGCCTGAGCTGCCTGCAGGAGGACTGACCAGGGGAAAAGCCCTGGACATGGGCTCAGGGCCTTGG